GGGTACTAAATACATGGAGAGGTTCTTTCTTTTTTTTTTTTTTTTTTTAAACTCAAATGTGGGAAAAAAATCTTGGCCTTATTTACACATTTTGGGCTTGGCTTGGAGATTCTGTTTCTAGTTGCTCTCTTCTCTTCCTTGTAAGGATTGCCTGTTTTCAACTGATGGCTTGCTTTGCAAAGAGACAGAATATATCAACCACGATATTATGAATTCACCAAATGAGATGCATATACATTTTAGCACAAACATCCAATAAAAATAAATACATCTGCAGTGAACATGGTAAATTATATGCAAACTTACACTATAATAATAAACAGGAAACAGCAGCATCTGAGTCTGCAACTGGCTTCTCAGGAGGCTCCATGCCTCCAGCTGTGGTAGCAGCTGTGGATCTGGCTCTGGAACTCTTGCTGAAACAAGCTGACAAAGGGCTGATTACAACATGGAGTTCAGTTTCTGCTTGGATTCGTTTTCCTTTTAACACCCTTTAGTTAAAAAAAGTTTGCTCATTTACCCTGTTTGAGGTTTTATATTCTTCTCTTCATAGGCATTGGGCTGGTGTGGTGTTTATCACCATTCCTAGTGACCTTGATTTTGGGGACCTTATACTGCCTATACCATTTCTGGAACATTGCAATTTGGTTTCGGCTTACTGGAAGAAATTGAAAACTCTCTTCCTTCTCTCTTCATCCCCAGAGACTGTTCAGCATTTTTGTGCAAAATATTATGCAGTAAAGTTGTCTATTTTTTTATTTTTATATGCACAGAAAACAATTCAGTAGAAGACCAAATGATCCTCACCTGCAGTGAAATCTGTAGAACAGGCAAGAGACTGGGAAAACTCTGCCAGGTGAAACAAGTAGAAAACTTCTTTTTATCACTTTTTATTAAAGGGAGAAATTCTGATTTCACAAAACATCATATACCCATGTGTTTCTAAAGCAGCTGTATAGATATGTTCGCTTGAAGGTCCTTCTTTCCACCCTGGTTTAATGGGCTCTTTTCTTGATGGCATGCTGAAGATGTAGTTAAGCTACATCTGGCCTTGATTCAGCAGAGACTTAAGCACATACTTAGAATTAAACACTTCCATTGCAGAATCTGCTTTGTGAACTCCCAGTTTGCTTCTGCTCTCATACTGTGGAGTGTCTCTGGTGAATATCCTGAGATTAGGATAGTCTTTTTCATTACACTGTATTTTTTTCTTTCAGTCCTGCTATCTTTTTAGAAAACAGCTGTATTTTCCAACTTAATTGAATTCCCAAATTAAATCCCACTTGCTTCTGCAACTTATTGCTCAAACTCTTCTTTTTTCCTCTGCTGCTTTTCTTCATGTAGGATCTTGCTTTTTCCACTAAGAAAAATAGATACAGTATCCTTTTCCTTCTGTCACTCTCTTCTCTCTCCCCTCCCCAGATCCTTTCTCCTCTACTGTCAGAGCAGCAGAAGTTTCTTGTTGACTTTCCGTGTACCCCTTCCACTTGCCCCAGTGACCCCATGCTCTGTTCTTCCTCCTATTTCTTCCCTCCCTTATTCTCTTTCTTAACTTCTCACTGTCCTCTGGCTCTTTTCCACTTGCAATATAAGCAAGCATTTGCCTCTTAAAACTTGCACCTTTGACCCTACTTGGTTCTTCATATCGTATCTCATCGCCTATCTCTTCTTTATTCCTAAACTCATTGAAGGCGCTGTTTATAATTACTGTCTGGGGACCCTCTTCTGTGATTCCCTCCTATAACTCCCACACTTTGGCTTCCGTTCCTTGCTTGCAACTGCAACAGCTCTCACCAAACTCCCTGATGACAAGATCTCGGAAACAGTAGTCTTTCCTCATTCTTCTTGACTTGTCAGTAGTGTTTGCTGCAGTTGACCAGACTATTCTTTAAATTTTTATTGTCTGTTTCTCTCCATGGCTCTGTTTTGGTCATTTTCTTCTTTCTAAGCAGTTCTTCAGCATGTTCTTCAAAGTTGTCTCCCATTTTGGAAGCGTGTGGGTGGAGGTCCTGGGGCTCTGCTTTGGTTGGATTCTCTTGTGGTTTTGATGCCTTATGGGTTATTTCATACTGAAAAAAAAAAATGTAGCAGCCAAACATATCTGTAGATAACGGATCTACCTCCCTTGAGAAACTTATTTCCTCACACTCTTGCTTATTAATTTGGAAGCACACAAATGCAATTACAAAGCATCCCACTCAGCGCTGCCTTCACTGTAGATGTCTTGGCAAATACTCAGAGCAGACATATGATTATCTTCCCTCTTTCACACAGACGTGTATTTTCTCTTTTGGTATGCTAGGCTCTCTGTATCCCTAGTTTTACTCAGCCCTTGCTTGCATATGCTCCAGCTTGTATGAACTTTTCTACAAATGGCTCAAATTTTATCTCTTATTTCCAGTAACAATATGCTAAGATCTTGTCAAAAGGAATTTATATTTTATAATGTCCTATATTAAAAATGCTTATCCTGATATATGTCTGGACCGCATTCCTCATTTTGAGCATTTCATTTTCTTTGTCATTGCCATCAACTGAGTCCCTTTTCTATTGCTTCTGTCCGTTCTCAGTGGAATCTCAGTGCTTTTTTTGGTTTGTTTTTTATTGACAGTGCCAAAAAATTTAATGTTATCACCACATTTCTACTTTTTATTCCAATTCATTAAATGAAAATGTTAGATAAAATTCTGCCAAGATCATTCTTGATGAACTCTACTGAAGAATTGTTCTTTCACTGTCCACAGGACTTTGTTGTCTCTCTGATAGGAAGTTCTTTTCCTGTCAAATTCTTTCAGTGATCCTTATTTTCTCCAGTTTAATATTGAATATTAGATGCCCAAATATATCTGTCATATTTTCCTTGTTTAAAATGTAAGTCTAGTCACAGTGGTGTAAGTATGCGGAGAGTTCATAATCTCAAACAGATTTGTGTATTGTAGTAGGCAGATTTCTCAGGTCACCACATACTTTCATACCCCAGCAGGCCCAGCTGAATTATGTGAGCTCAGGCAATCTGCTCGCTGGTGTGAACCACAGGGAGTATTCCCTTGTTCTCTAGATACCTTTTGGTCTGCTTTTGCTTTTGTTTGCCCTACTCCATTCCAGATGTCATTCATGCCATATTATCACTACCAAATGCATGTCTTCTTGGTCTGACATATGTAGCCATTAGAAACCTGTAAAGATATATGTAAATAAAGGGAACATGTGCACATATGTACTGTATGTTTTGCATTTACTTAGTATTTAGGACTGTTCTTGATCACTTCATAAAAAAGTGGTGTGGCTAGTTTTGAAAATAATTTCAGTAAGTGTATGTATTTGCTAGCTCTAGGCACTGTAGTATTATGTAAAAAGCAATCCTTTGGGACTGAAATTTTTCATGCTTAGTTTAATTTGAAAAACTTTGTATGCATAAAAAAAATAATAAGGAAATTATCCTGAATTGTTTTTGAGTTATGTGTCACTGAAAATTGGGGCAGTGTTTAACTGTTTACAGTAGCTACTTTTTTGACTTTAATGTAGATAAGAAAATTCATAATTTTGAAATTTAAACAGTGGCATCTATAATTGGGGCTGATATCTAATGAATTCTGTGGCCAAGTTTCAAAAAAGCTGTTTTTCATAATGACATACTGATAATTGAAATCATGCCTCACAGGCATCTGGACTAAAATTATGAGCAAGATGTAATGGACCCAACCACTTTCATGGAAACAAAATTAATTTCCATTTCTTTGTCAGGGCTAATCAAGTTCTTTTTAGATTCAAGGTTTGTTTCACTCTTGCTGCTATTTCTAGTGTGCCAAGATCATACTTTCATATAAGGGAGGTAATATGTTCTATGCATTAAAATATGGACCTTTTTTCACAATTTCTTTTTGCCTGTTACTGATCCTAATTTCACATTCTATCAACCACTTCCTCCTTCAACTGCAAAGAAACAATACATCCTTCACCCTGCAAACCTTGACTACATACAAACTGGCATCTGTTCAATCCCTTTTGCATTATACAGTGTATAATTTTACATTATATCCTTCAATGTTGAGCAAAAGGGAATGACAGGAGAGTGATGAAGGCTCTTGTTCTTCTGTAAAGCAATTAAGCAACCTCCCACTGGGACTCTGCCTGCCTCTGAATCTGTTGTAAATCTTTTTAGAGTCACACTTTTGATTTTGACTGGCTGTTTCTGGTTAGTTTAATCGTATTCCTAATAAATTTAAGATAAATAATTAGAAGTTTAATTAGAATTTCATGGCTCTTAATTGTCATTAAAAAGGGGAAATTTAAACCAAATCCTATGCTAAAAGAGCATTAGGGCTGAACAATGGAAGTTTGGTTGTGGCTTTCAATTTCTGTGCTTTATGGGGCCAGTAGCTGCTGAGGGACATGGTTTGGCTTCTCAGTTTCTTCTTATCCCAAGGCCTACCTAAATTGCAGTTTGCAATGGAGCTATAATTCTTCTGGGGCAATGGGACAGAGATGCCAATACAGAGAGAGAGGATGGAAACTACCTCATTCACCACAGTTCTGATGACTTATGAGATGGTGGGGTTGTTAAAAGTTGTTTGCGTCCATGTGTTGCTTTCTCTGATCCGAGTAGCTAGTACAAGGAAGAAAGTGGTATCTTCCTCTGAATACCTTCTGTGGGCTAGGCAAGGCAAAGCTTGAGCTGCCTCTTGCAACTTCATAAGGAAATACCAAGAAAAATGAAGTCTCCTGCAGCATCATTAACTTGGCTTTGTTGCCAGTCCTTTACACCCTGTGACATACACTGGGTGTAAATAAAGCTGTGATTTAAAAGGAAAATTAACAAACCTGCTATTTTCTTCTGATTTAATTTTAACTTTGCATTCAAATCTTTGTTCTGCATTGACTGTCTTAAATATTAAAAATTATATTTAACCCATTTTTAAATGTCACATGGATGAATACATGCATTTGGTAGATATATACATATAAAACAGAAGTATCATTGTGTGTTCTTTCTATTACAGGTATGTGTCGTGTGCGCTGGGATGCCCATATGAAGGAAATATCACACCAGCTAAAGTGGCAGAAGTAAGAGTGAACTTCTGGCTTGTCTTTTTAATGACTCAAAAATACAATTTAAAATGTCTATAAGTCATGTTCTCTACTTAATCATAAAAAGATCTTAAATGGATAAAAATTAAGGAAAACAAGGACAAAATATACCTAATGCTAAAACTGGGTGCATAACGTCACTCAACCATGTGCAGTCAAATATGAGAAAAATAGTGTATTTTGGTTGTTATCAGTCATGAAAAAAGAAAAGTTCTATTTCCTCTACAAAGTAAGTAGGAAATGCTTAAGGAAATAGACTCTAGCACATATGTCAGTAGACTGTGTTGTCCAAGATGGTTCCCAGCACCACCTCTTTTTTTTAAATCCATTTTATACTGGAATAAGCATACTGTGCTGTCAGCTGGTAGAGCCTCTGCTACAATGTGCTTCAGGTGAGTGTCATGTGATTGATACATGAGCCAAAACTCAGCCCCAATATGACTTCTTAAATTGCTCTACTGCCATGATGGAGTAAGTTGCACCCACCCTTCCTGCCCCCTTTTCCCCTTTAGGATACAGGATAAGGAAGAAGATATCTTAATGCAGCCTTTTTTTCCCAGCAGGGAGGTGAGTGAAACACAAGTGTAAAATTTTGTAGGAAGGCAAAGAGGGTATGAAAGCTGAAATGGATGTTAAAAAACAAAGCGGAGAGAGAATTCAAAAGGCAGAAGGCAGAACACACTGGCCTTCCACCTAGGGATAGACTTGTCTTCTCTGTTACACTTAATCACTTATTTTTGTTGATCTAGCAGAATAACCAAACAATTGTCTTTTACTTTGTAGCCCTAGCAGCTAGTCCACATTTGTCTAATATATTATGTTCTGCATGGGTGGTTTTCAGGTCCTCTTCTCCTGTATCTTCTCTAGTATACATTCCAGAAGCAACTTGGTATAATACTTCTCCCACAGCAGCCACACATACTCACATATTTGAAAAAAAGTAGCTAATTTGAAAGGTAATCAGTATTTCTAAATTAATTTGTTCTAATATGTGAAGGTTAGTTAGCTTTAGTTAGAGCAGTGATGACATATTGGTTATCGTGTTCCTCAACAGGCTTCTTTTTTCAACTCCCTTGCACAGAAGAGCTCCTTTGATCAATGCTTGGTGTCAGGGCAGTTTTCCCAAGGGGAGTAGCACAAGACTCATGCATAGTAAAACTGCTCAGTGGTGCAGAACACAATGCCATTCAATCAACAAAGCTGCAAGCTCATAATCACATCCTAATTACACCGACAAAACAGTGTGTTCTCTTCTCCCACACCCTCCTCCCAAAAATCCAGGTTGAAAACTTACAAAGACATAACTAATGGGCTGCCTCCTACTATGGTAAAGTAGAAAATTCAGTTTGAAAAACTCCCATTCAGCTTCCAAGCATGCACATTCTTCTTGAAAATAAGTATAGATCTCTTTGTAAGAGTCACTTTAAGGTTAAATCCTGACATCAGTGGTGATGATGAACTTGTTAGCAGAGTTTCATCCTCTCTTCTTTCATCTTTCAGAACTTTGTTTTCAGAAGGCTGAAAGACCTAAGGACTCAACATGGAAAAGAAGTGAATGCAATATGATTTCTAGCGGTTTATATAGTCTCAGTTATTACTGAAACGCTCATCTAGAAAAACTTAGAATCATGGATTAGAAAGAACAGGAGAAAAAAAAAAAAGCCATCTTCTTCCTTTACCCTGATCTTAAAGAAAAGCTGAGGTTTGGGGAGTAGCTCGATGTAATCCACCCCTAACTGCAGATGATTGTGTTCTTTCTTACAAGGTATTCTAGTTAAAATGCCTGCCATGTGTTGATGATATAAAAATATACCATGTGATAGAACCTCTTTTGCAATCTGGTGATTGTCCCCTTCTTAAAATGTATATTGAATTTGTGTGTCAGAACCAGTGAGTCTGACTTTAAAGCACAGTTTTACTACATTTGCAATAGTCATAGCACTTCCAAGCCTTAAGCAGGGCAATTCAGACAATGTGAAGTTCTTTTTCAGCTGCTCTTTGAATTAAGTGAACAGCAATATTAATCCAGCACTTCCAAGACTGCTGGTGCAGCACTTTGTCAGCTTCCTCAGACATATTCACAGTAATCCCACTGATGCAGTCCTTGAATTGCTTTAACAGCAGAGTGCAGTGCAACTGAAGATGTCTTGGAAAAGAGTTGTATTTTTTCATTTCTAAAAATCTAGACTGGGATTCTGTTCCAGTGGAGTGGTCTTTTGGGATCATTAATACACAATGGGGAATCCTAAAGGGGACGAACATTTTCAGCAGCTGAAAGTAAGGTGAAATGTTTCCAAATAAGTTCAACAAAAATAAGATGGAAAGATTATGAATTCAATTTCCAAAGCAATATTGTCGGTGAAAACACGATTTTGTGCTTCTGAATATATGTTTCTCTTCATGCAAAAATTATGAAGCCAGGCCTCAGTTCTTTTACTCGTGCAAAAAACTCCTCAAAGAAATATTTAGGGTTCTACTTACATAAGTAAGATCTATTTGTATACGATTTTGTTTGGTATTAAGAAAATTTTTAAAACTTAAGGACTAGAATGTTAATTAAGTTGCAGTTTTGCTTTGTTGGTATTTTAGTGTTTGATTTCATGAAAAGCAAACAAAATTAATATAGCAAAATTAATATTGACTGCAACATGTTAAAACTTCAGTTTTTATTGATTTTTTTAAGCACCAAGAGAAAGCAAAATCAGGCTTCTTGTTAATTATTTATTGTCTTAGTTTGGCCATGTGCTTGGCTTCATGTAATAAGCAAACAAAATGGCACAGCTTATAAGCTGAAAACTACACGAAGAAAACCAAACAGCTGGGGAGTCCCCAGAGAGAGAAAAATGTTGGGAAAGGACTTGACAGAAAATTTGTAGTTTTAAAATTTTGCTTACTTGGATTCTGTGGGAGAGTCAAAAGCAAATTTTTGATGGATTTGGCTTGGTTGGTTATTCCACGTACAGAAGCAGAACTATAAATTTAAAATAAGAGGATCTATGGGATCTTCTCGGATGACAATTTTCAAGAATGAATAGAGTGTGTGTGATAGATAGATCCACCTTAGTAGGTCAAAACCTGAAACCTGTACAGAAATATGTATTTTTAAATGTATATTCTTGACGATATTTTACATTCTTTTATCTTGACCTCTTCATGTTTTTCTGTTTCTAATCAGGTATCTAAGCGCCTGTACAGTATGGGCTGTTATGAAATCTCTCTGGGAGATACAATTGGTGTGGGGACTCCTGGAAGTATGAAAAAAATGTTGGAAGCTGTTATGAAAGAAATTCCTCTGAGCGCTCTTGCTGTTCACTGTCATGACACGTATGGGCAGGCATTAGCCAATATCCTCACAGCCATACAGGTAACTCAGTTTCTCTTTTTATACATACAATAGTAATAGTCTTAGTTTAATTCAAATGTGCAATTTTAAAAAATGCTGCTCTTAAAAAGATCATTAGAAGAGGAAAAGGCACTCACTAAACTTTCAGAAAGTATCACTCTCACATCAGCTTGTCAATAGGTATTACTCCGGTTGCTTTTACCAGAAAATGTCAATCCTTGTCTATTTATTACCTTCACTTTCATACAAAATCACTAAGAAACAGTGGAAACTACATTCCATTGATACTAGATGAAAGAGGGACATAAAATTAATTTTTTCTGCTATTTCAGATTCCACTTTTCTTAGAAACAACTGTATGTTTGTGGTCCACTAAACTAAAATTTCTATTTCACAAAGGTGTCTAGATAAAAAATGGAATAATGCACAATTACATCTTGATTTCAGATTATTGGTAATTATGTACACAGAATTGTCTAGATAATTTTACTGCTGTTGACATGCCTTCATTATTCTTTTTTTTTAATCAGTTATATCTTCCAAGTAAGATTAGCAACAACTTGTATTTAATCAGCTTTCATATCTGTGGCTAAATAATCAGAAATAGTTAATTTTCATAAGAGATTTTTTTTCTTATGTTGATATGTTTTTCAGAATAGGACATAATGCAAGAAAGAGACTACAGGTTCTAATGTCATTTTTGTAAAGATATAATCTTGAAAAATACCTTAATGTGCACATGTATTCATAAGGAGACCAGTTTTTACTAAGTATTACAGAATCAAAAGCTGTTTACAAATTGTAGGCCTTTATTGTTCTATTTTATACTTAATGGCATCTTCTGCTTCCTTGTAATTCAGGCAGCCATTTTGAAGGTGAAACTTTTCTTTGTCCTTAGTTATTCTGGCAGAGCTCATATTATGTTGTTTAGATATAACAGCAGTTGTGTTACCAGTATTAGTGATATAAGCCACAAGAAGGAACAAAGAAAGTTTCAATATGGGAATCCACAGGTATTTGATTATATAGTGAAGGACAAAATCTTGCAAAAAAGGTTCTAACTTTTACTCACAGCACTCACCCTTACTCACTTTTACTGTTGCAATTGCGTGTGTATGTATCATGGGATAAATAAATTGCTAATTTCACAGTTAGCTTCAGTTGCAGATGCAATAGCTAAAAGCATGAAAACCCCTGAGCATGGGAGGAGTTGGCCATAAAAGTACTTGAAGCATTGTTTTTCAAATCCTTCCTTAACATAATTGCTGTCATGGTGCCTACTAAACACTGAACAATGGCTGCTTTTTTAACCCCAGTATTTGCTGTGATTCTTGTCTCAAGTTTACCTCTTGCTTCTGTCTTTTTATTTACTGCTGAAATCAACTTTGTAAGACTTAAAGGGAAAAAAGCTCTTAGGTACCTAATACGCAGTTTAGGATAATTAACATGTAAATTCAAAGAGCAAAAGACCTAAAAGGAAACCCCTATGCAACTTTCTCAGATTTCTGGGAAGCCCGGGGTGCCTGAGACCCAGAAGAAAACTTCCCTCTGTGCTCAAGTTCTCCTACAGTGCATGTCTAAAGGTGCCGTGGTTTTGGCTGAGCTGAACTTGTCACAGATTTTGCCAAAAGTCCTTGATGAAGCAGGCATTACACAGTCTCTCTGACTGGCTTTGTGTAAGCTGCTCCTTGGCTCATTCTAAAGGTAGATCCCCAGGCTCTTGGATCCTCCAATGTGGTCTGCACCTCACAACATCCTCCCTTGTCTCAGGTCAAAACAAAGCAGCTACTCAGTGAGTTATAGTTAAGCAATACTCCTTCTAAAACAGGACAACTTTTACAGGTCAGCCATGCTGAGAAGTGCCAAAGCCAGTGGATCAGCGTGCCCAGGTAACTTCTGGCCCTTGCTGTCAGGCTTTCCTGTATTTTCTTCCAAAGATACAGGAATAGCAAAGCACTGGAGTAAAAACCCTTGTTTTCAACTCAGCTGCTGTTTCATAGCCCAAACTCTCCACAGACACAATTCCTTACCCTTCCCCCTTTATGGGTCTGTGTGACTGACACAATATTTCATCAAGACTGAAATGTATTTGGAGGGTTGTAGAAACAATAGGCTACAGTGATTGTTTGAAAACAAGTTTAAAGAACATTCAGCAAACAAATTACACTCTTCCTAAGACATTGCAAAATACAACCTCAATCTGAGTACTATTGTATTGTATATTGTATTTCCTAAGAATTAATGAATGACAGCTGGAAAGCCACAAATCACTCTGCACTAATTCAGGCATTGCTTCGATGGGAGATCTCCTAAGAGTGGAAAGAGGTGCTGGTGATTCAGTAAGTGATTTTTTATAAAGATCACATTGTTCCATGCAGGATTATACTACCCAGAATATTTTCTTCTGGTTGGGGCTGATCCAAAGTCATCTAGAACGGACAGGCTGTATCTGTATAAGAAATTAGCAGGGCAGTAGTCTTGCAATTTTAGCATTCAGTTTTATGTGTGTTGTTTTAGCAAAAGGATAGGTAGTGAAAGATGGGAGAGAGATTAGCCATCTTTTAAAGAGTAAGTAATTTTTTGCGTTGCTAAAGTGAGTAATACAAATAGAAAGCATTGCATAGAAAAATGAAGTTTATTTTATGAAGAGAATCTGTGTAAAAATGTGAGGAACATGAAGTGATGCTTGAAAACAAACCAATAAACATTTAAAGTACAAACATGACTGGCTCTTAGTTAAATGGTTTAATATAAAAATACCAGAGTATAAATTGACCAAAGAGGTAAATTCAGAAGATGGGAAGTGATGTGGAGATCTAGTTAGAGATTATGGTATTCTGAGTAAAATTACATATGTGGCTTAGCTAATGTGACAAACAAAATGTAGCTAAAAGAAGTAGTAAAACATTTATAGGAAATTATTACAGACCTCCAAGGAAGGGTAAAAAGATGGGTCAGGAAACTTCTGCAGAGGCCCTGGTAAGGTAGACCATTGATCTAAGACGATTTGAGTTTCCTTGACAGTTGACTCTTGTGTGTACAGAATGCGTAAGAAAGGGAAGTTTTTAATGGAAGTGTTACGGAAATCTTTTCCCTTAAAGCTTGTGTAGTTGACAGAAATAGGTTTGTCTTTCTTCATAGCACATATACAAACATGAGAAAGAATACGCTAAGAGGCAAAGAGGAGTTTTGGCTGGCTGTGATACCTCAATAAATGAAACAATCTCATGGTAGTCCCATAGAACTTTATCAAATTCAAATCACTATCATAATTCATTAGTATGAACTGATCCCTACACTACTGGGATCAAATACGAACTTAAAGAAAACAAGACTGACAAGGACCAAGGATTTTTACCACATTGTATAATCATTTCCACCTTATTGGACACAGTGAAATGAATGAGATTGATTACATGCCAAATGAAACCACTTTTTATTAGTTCTTTTTCCAGAAAACAGGAATTTTGAAATAAAATCCCCAGTTTAGTACTAGAAAGAATTTAGCAAGCCTCTAATTAAACTTTCAAGGTTCAGACTGCAAAATCCAAATTTGAGAGTGCGAGTACAAATAGTTTTTATGAAGATTTAGAATTTATTTTTGAAATTGAAATTTAAAAACAGAATAGATTTTGAGCTTCGTATAGAATGTAATTTTGAGATAAAAAAGCTAAGTTACCTGAGTGGGCAAGTGATCAAAATACATACATGCCCAGTCAAATTATCTGAGCCCTGTAACCCTCCACTTCTTTTCACCTGCACAGCCTGGCGCTCTGTAAGTCATTATGTAGTACAGTGTGAAGGTGGGAAAGACTTGCTATATGAAGCATGCACATTTTTTAGGATATTGAAAAAATGTTAATATTTTTGCATTCTTATTTTGAGAGCATAGAAATGGAAAGGTTTCAGCAAACCTCACAAGTTTGCTTTTCTCTGCTGTTTACAAATATATGCCAGGAAGCTGCAGAAGACTTTGAAGAGATCTCCAGAAACTAATTTCAGGGTTCAGATAGGGAAATATTAGAAAACACAGCTTGACTGAGAATAGCTGTACAGAATTCAGGAAGGGCTGGTCATGCTTCAGTATTTTGCTGGAATTCTTTGAGGCAGTCACTGCCAAGGAAGACAAAGGATATACAGTGGCCATCATATGCTTTGATTTTTCAGAAAACAATTTATAGTGTCCTGTACTGGAAGTTAATATTAAGGCGTGGAGGCATATAATAAGTGGAAAGTTGGCTAAATGGCAGGAAACAAATAGAATTATGAAACAGAATTTTTTCAAACTGGAAAGCACCATCAGTGTGGTTGTGGATCCTAGGCCTGTGCTTGTGGATCAGTGGGCCTGTGGGTCCTAGGTTTTCCTGATTAAATGAATAATTTGCAATACCATGATGCTCATGTTAAGGGCAGTTGTTCTAAAGTGTAGAAATTAGGTTTTGCAAATTTTACATTTGTGAAAAATTGTGAAAAACAGGATATCTGGCAGAATTTGTAAGTGGAAATCTGTGTAATATTCTAAACTATGCAAAAGAAAAAGTTTGGGATCAAACATAAGAGTACAGGAATACATATAATTTTAAGTAAAGCGAGAGACTATTACAACATGCCTGTCCTTTAAAATAAGGGTCTTCCTATAGCTTTCTGCCTTTGGGTTTCTGTAGGAACTAATTTATCCTAGGTATTTTCTGGGTTTGAAGTGTAAACAGTGCTTTTGAATTATTTGTCAGCAAACTAAAAAAGCTGTTGGCAGTAACACAAAATTCTTTAGACAACGTCAGTTTGCTTTTTTGTTTCTGTTTCCTTTTATTCTCCCTTCCCATGAAAATGACATAGCACTTAGCTAAAGGTAGTAATTAAAAAAGCAGACATGAAGGAGTACGTGATATTAGGAAAGAAAGTGAGTAGAATTGTTTAATATTGAAAGCTAACATGACAGGTGAATAAGACTCTATTTGAAAGCAGATAAGTTAGGAGGAAAATGGCAGGTCAATTGTGAAAATTTACCAGGCTGCAAGGTA